CACCCCCCCAACCCTGATCTTTCCATCCTTGATCGCCAACTTCACCATCACCAGGAGCTGCTCGGGGATCTCTCCTTTCTCTCCCCCCCCACGCTGGCATTTCTGTATCGAACTGCTGTGGTTTATCTATATGTTTTCAATCACTCTGTGAAACTGCCGCTGTCGCTTCGGGCGAGGCCCCTCGAATCACGTAAAAAGGGCCGTGCAAATGCCGAACTGTCGTAGAGAGCTATGGCCTCCGTTGTGACGCCGTGTCCGTTACACATCCTCCTGCTCCTCTAGCACGTGCTCCTCCTCCTCTCCGATGAGGGCACACGACGTCCTCCTCTGCCCCCCCCCCGCCGGGTGTCCGCGTCGTGGCGGAGGGCCGCGTTCTCCGCCTCCAGGCCCCTGACCTGGCAGGGAGAGGAGGATGAGGACGCGTATGAGGATGAGAAGGATGATGATAGTGAAGATGATGAGGATGAGGACGATGAGGACGATGAGGCTGATGACGATGACGATGACAATGACGATGATGGTGATGATGATGATGAGGATGATGGTGATGATGATGGTGATGATGATTATTGTGATGAGTATGGTGATGCTGACGATGACGATGATGATGCGGATGATGATATTGATGATCATGTGATGATAATGAGGACAAGGAGGATGAGGACGATGATGCTGGTGCTGAGGTTGATGATGCTGGTGATGCTGCTGATGCTGATGATGGTGATGATGACGATGGTGCTGGTGGTGATGATGGTGAGGATGATGATGATGGTGCTGATGATGATGATGATGATGATGATGATGATTATGATGATGATGATGGTGATGATGATTATGCTGGGGCTGATGAGGATGATCTGGTTGATGGGGCGGATAATAATGATCAGGCTTATGAGGATAATGCTGAGATGGTGATGATGATGATGATGATGATGGTGGTGGTGATGATGATGATGATGATGATGATGATGGTGGTGGTGATGATGATGAGGAGAAACTCTAACTCTGACGTCACGGGTGTGCGTGCCCAGCGGCATGCCCAAGAAAGAGGAGGGGCACCTGGCGGAAACTCCGCACGGCGAACGCTGACACTGTCCCGGCGAGGGGCCCAACCACTTTTGATGTCACAGCGCGGCAAAGGCGATCCGTACGCGTCGGGGCGAGACCGGGGCACGACATCGCGAATTAGCCCGCATGCAAGAGGGGGAGGGCAGGAGGGTGGCCGCAGAGAAGCGAGCGGGGCGCGGGGGCATACTCACGCAGCGAGGCTGCGGCGGGTGCGCAGGCGCGGCCAGGTGGAAGACCCAACCACATGCACCTGTGAGTGTCGCCGTGGTGAGGATCGCCTTCGGTGGATCTCCCTATGGGGCCACGAGCAATGCAAAAGGTGCAGGGGCGGGGCCGCGATGCGGGCGCGGCTGCTACTGGGGCCTGCAGCATACCCGCCCCTGTGGGACCACGAAACGTGTGAGAGGTGTGCGCCGAAATGGGCGGGGGGGGGCGCATGCGAACGTCGCCAACGGAGTCTTTCGGTTGAGCTCCCCATGGGGCCACGAAGCGCTGTACTTAGTGGGGCGGGCGCATGCGATCTTCGCCAATGGGGTTTTCGGTGGAGCCTCCCATGGAGCCACGAGGTCCTGTATTGGGTGGGGCGGACGCATGCGAACGTCGCCACGGGGGCCTTCGGTAGGGCCCCCTATGGGGCCACGGAACGCTGTACTAAGCCTTGTACTGGGTGGGGCGGGCGCATGCGAACGTCGCCACAGGGGCCTCTGGTGGAGCTCCCTGTGGGGCCAAAACGCTGTACTGGGTGGGGCGGGCGCATGCGAACGTCGCCACGGGGGCCTCTGGTGAAGCTCCCTGTGGGGCCAAGAAACGCTGTACTGGGTGGGGCGGACGCATGCGCACGTCGCCACTGGGCGATTGAGGGATGCGTTGACGTGCGGAAAGCAGAGGCACGCAGGGGAGGAGGGAGGAGGGCGGAGGAGCAGGGGGGGGGAGAAGGAGACGCGGGGCGCTGTTTCTTCAGAACGAGGACCCAACACCACAGGATAGTTGGGGAAAACATGCAACGTGATATTCGAAACAAGCATGCTATCCCTGGGAGGCGATCCCACTGCCAGGGCTCCTTCTGTGCACGCCATCCCTCTGCCTGGTCTTCTTCGGCGCACGCTATCACCAAGGTGGGGAGTAGCATGTAGTAGGCGGGCCGGCGGCGCCACATCGTACGCTATTCTTCCAACGCCGACCGTAGGAGGGAGGAAACACCGGAACAGGGTAAATAGGGAATGCGGCACTCATGGAAATGTCGCGTAGCGCGTCGACATACACAAAAGAGAGAGAGAGAGAGAGAAAGAGATAAGAGGATGATAAGCGGGACGGGTGGTGGGGATGGACGAAGAGCAGGAGATCATGTGGTAGAGGACGGGGAAGAGGGCGTGGGTATCGGAAGGGGGGAGGAGGAGAACACCTCACGTCAGGTTATCTCGCCCAGAATTCGAAAGGTGTCTAAAACGAAACGGGCCGATACAACTCACGAACCGAAAGTCGAACGCAGGGCACGTCCGCTGGACAACCCCTTGGATAACCTCGCGGGGATCTGGACAACCCCTCCTACCCCCCTTGGACAATGCTCCTCGGATTGTTTCCCATGGGATACAGTAGGAGGAAGACTAGAGAGCAGGAGGTGGAGGAGCAAGAGAAGGGGAAGGAGAACGGGGGAGGAGGAGGAGGAGGAACAGGAGAAGGGTCGAGGAGAAGAAGGGAATGAGCAGGGCAGACGTGTGAGGGAAGAGGGAGATATCTCGCCATCGCTCGGACGTCCATTCCCTGTGCATTTGTCGGCGTCGTGCGTGCTTTTTCGCCAGATGATCCAGGATGCTCCTCGGAAGTACTCGCCGAGAAACAAGCGATGCACACGTCCGAGCGATGCTAAGATATAAGATCTACATGCTTTGGCTGATTATGCCCCGTTCTGGGCCTCTGCGGGCGCCCTCCTGGCCACGACTGGCTCCGCCTTGACGTTATCGCCAGAATGCACCCCCAGGAGAGGATCAAGGTCGATTGGATTTAGACAGCTTGTTGAACATAGTAGGAGGACGGGGGAGCGAGGCGAGAAAAGTAGGTCCGCTATCCTGTTTCTCCTCATCCCGCTGCTTGAGGAGCACACGGGTGAACGGAACACGGGTGAATGATGACATGTTTACCACCATGAATCCCAAGCAGCGGATTATTGCACTCTCGATGTGCACTCGGCGTGGCGCAACCTACGGTGTGCGATGGTACAACCCATGTTGGACAATCTGTGTGTGGTTCTATCGACATCGTGAGATATGTGAATTGCAACAGTTGTATCACAAACGAATGTGTATACAAACATACATGCACGTATGTAGAAAAGCTGACCGCGATTCGGTGTAACCAATGAGATGCAAACTGTGGTGTACGTTATGCGCCACAAGCTGGTTGGTGCAAGCTGTGGGGTGCAACATCAACGGTGCAATCTATGAGAGCCAAATTCGGAACTCTCAATGCAAACTCTTTTTCCAACACGTCTGGGCATGTGCTGCCGGAAATGATGGTCGAACGCATTCAGGGGGCCGGGGATCCAGACAAAACGAACACTCCCAGGCCGGTGCGACAGCATTAGGGCAAGACGAGAAGGGATGTGGAACGGCACGGGCGGGACTCCACTGAGCGAGGTGCACATTGACAACCCATTGAAACTGAACTGTGCTCATCAACACACCTTGAGCGCGCTGAAGGCTTGTGCTGTTCTCATTCGTCAAAACTCACGGCTGCTCATGCTGTGCTGCAGACTCGCCTTGCGATTCAAAGACTTATGCCGGGCGCAACGAAGCTCGCCTTCACATCTACTGCCCATTGCAATCATGTTCTGGCCATCAAGCGTTGGTGTCGTCATCGCTGGAATCTTTCTCGGCATCGTCCTCTTCGTCGCCATTTTCATCGTCCTCGTCTGCACCCATGCGATTCTCGCGCAGATGTTTACCGAGCAGATACCAAGGACGATGCAGAGCGCGAGGATAAAGATAAGCAACGCTCAGGGGACGATGCAAAGCGCGAAGATACAGCAATAATCAACACTGCCTGGCTCTCGGAAAGGCTGGGTCCCAAGAAGGTTATGGCTTGTGCGCAGAGTATGAGCAAAGAAACATTAACAACACCTTGGGAATGCATGTCGGCGCACCGTCCGTCCAGGGCGAGCCATGGCGCGTAAGGACCCCAGAACCCTCTGGCAAGAATGAACGAAAATATATAACGGCAGAGGAATACGTCCAACGCTGCCGCCTGCCCTGGACAAACGACGATGGCGCGGTCAATGAGCTGCGACGTCCGCGGGAAGTCCGCCTTACACAGCTTCGGGTTGTCCTTCCGGCGGCACGCCGGCAGGGGTACTCGCTCCCCAGTCTCCTCGTTCTTCAAATGCACGTGGTTCTGCTTCCTCTCCTGCAGGCACTGCACGTCTTCGTCCAGGTACGCTTTCTCCCATGCCACAGCGTCGTCTGCTGCCTCCTTCTCCGTTGCTTCTGGTTCCAGTGTGCGACACTGGAACGCGGGCCTGCAAATGAGACCGCGCTCGTTCTTGAACTCCGGCCACGATTTCTCTGCCTCCTCCAACTTACCACTAATCTCCTCCGATGTCATCTGCTCCGAATAAACCTGGCGGCACACGCGACTCTTATACTTCAAATAATCCTCCACGATCTCCCTTCCACGGCCTTCCACCTCGTCGCGGACGATTTCGAATACCTCCTCCAGCGGTGTGTGCTGGTGCAGGCACTGGATGAATACCTGGCAGTGCGCGTGGAGAGACCCCGTGGACTTCTGCGCTTCGATCGACACGCAGTAGGCATCGACGCGCCCAAACGCGCCCCCACCGGGCTCCGCATTACTCCCGAACAGGTCCTGGCAAGGTGCCCCGTTCTCCGCCTCGTTGCACCGCGGGCAGTTCGGACAGGTCCGCACGCCGAACAAGTGACGGAGCGTGGCGTCCACCAGGATACGGAAGCCGTCCACGCTGGCCATGGGATCTCTCGCAAGAATTCGTCTGCGCTCGTTCCATGGCGGCACTCCTGCCTCCCCCGTGGCCATTGGCAGGTCCATCTGCAGCCCGTCCATGTCGGGGGCTACGCGCGGCCAGCCCCGACCCCCCGCCAGCCGCGAATGCGCTTCATCATCTGCTGCCTTGTGCACGGGGTCCTGCCGTTGAGTGCGCGAGAGTCTCACCATGAGCAGATTGTGACCTTCGTCGGGCGAGAAGGTTACGAATATGGGGACGCCGTACCGCACTCGCAGCGCGTTCGTCTCAAATCGCATGACTCGACGCGCTTCCTGCGTCCCAGACAGTCGCCGCGAAGTGTGCTCTATGTGCGTCAGCAGCTTATGGGCGGCTTTCCCCAACGTTGGCACGTGCCGCACTTTGGTCATGTCGCCGTTTACTTTCTGTTTCCTGTTGTTGACGTCTACGTACTTCCCGTCGAGCGCGCGATAAATCTGCTTCGCTCCTTCCGCGATTTCCGCGGGAGTGAGTTGTTCGACCTCGCCTGATGCGTTCGCGGACACATACGTGAACCACGTCCTGCTCAGGTTCACGGCCGATCGAAACACAAGGTTCCACGACACGAATCCGAAGTGCCAGTCGCGGGAAATCTGGCTCTCCACGCGACGACTCATTATCCTCACCCACAGCGGCAGCTCCACCCGCGGCGCTCCGTTCCCCCTTCGGTGGCGCGGGCGCTTCATGAACTCTGGGCAGTCTGGCATTCCCGTGCAATACTTAAACAAGAACGCGAACGCGACTCCGAAATACCAGGGCTCGAACTGATCCATCATAACGTTTCCAGTGCGCACGCGGAGCCGATCCACGCGCTTCCTTTCGCGCCCGGCCTGAGTCAGCATGTCGCGCTCCACTGCTTCTCGGGCCGCCTCATTCGCGCCCGAGGCCGCTCCCTCGCGGACGCAACCGCGTTTACCTGCCCGTTCTGCCTTCCCGCCGCCTTCCTCGTCCTCGCTGGAGTTCGGCGTGTCGTCGGCCCCGCCATGCGCGCACTCCTCATCCAGCCGTTGCACGAAGGTCCGCACGGCCTCAATCCGCTGCGCATTGATGTCTCCCTCGTCGAAACTGCTCTTCTCACACACCACAGCGTTCGCCTTCGTGGTCTCCAAAATCTCTCCAGCCTCACGTAGCCCGTCGGGCTTTGGCACGGGCGTCGCCGCCTTCTGCATTTGGATCTTCTCCAAGGCGTCGTCCAGGGGTACCAGCCGCATGACCTCCGGTGGCACGCCTTCCTCCGGAAGCTCCATGGCCTTCCTCCGGACCTCATCCATGTCAACGTTCCGGTACGCGCGATGCCCGCGAGCCGTCGCCCCCTCGATGAGATCCACGACCACCTTCCTGCGCACGAGAGCCTGGTGCACGAACGTGGACATGCTTGCAGCAGTATCGTCGTCGCCGCCCGACTTCAAGATCACAGACACGATGCCTGCAAGCTCCGCGCCCGTGCGGGGCAGTGCCGGCGCATGCCCGTCCTCGGCAGCCTCTTCAGCAGCAGCCAACTGCGCTAGAACGTCCGTCCACGGCATCGGGAACGACGTCGCGTTTCCGCGGGCCGCCATGCGGACCTCGTTCGCACCCACTTCCATGTCAAAAGACCGCTCCTTTCGGTATCGTTTCTCCAGCGTGAAGCACACCATTGATGTGATGCAAACTGAGGCGCAGATCATCTCCAATATCGTCACCTTGCTACCGAACAGTTCTTCCGGCGAGTAGAAAGCCATCATATCATTGGCCAGCGCCGCGGGGGGCAGCGTCGCCTCGCCGCGAAGGCCCACCATCGCGTTCTTACGCTCACCACACAACGGGGCTTCACAACACTTGCACGCCGTGTTCTCCGAGTGCCACGTGCCACTGCCGCACCGCATGTCCTCGGGGCAACAGAGCACGCTGACGGGCCCCTCTTCTGATGAAACTGTCACTTGCCAATCATTAGCGGGAGTACGTGCGCAGGATAATTCGGTCTGGCAGCGCTACTCTGTGCATGCCTTGGCGGGCCAACGCAAACCTCACGATCTCGCCTGCATGAGCGGCAACGCTTAGCTCTCCACCGTGCGATGCCAGATTCAACCACGCATCCTCGACGTTCCGCAAATACCGCAGGCACGCTTCACATGCGCCGCGGCGCTCCTCAGCGGACGCCAAGGCATGGCCACACCACCCGGCGTTCGTCACAAACTGGAATATACTGTCCGCTAGGCTAGCGTTGACCCCGTGCGCAAGCGATGCGCCCACACAGCGGCCATCTCGCGTCATCTCGGCTCCGCGTTCCTCGTCCGTCTTCGCCTCGAACACTACTTCCCCCATCAAAAATTCCATGAACTTGCACGTCCGTTCCTCCACGACGCGGCACCTATCCTCTGCGTCGGGGGCGCCTGCCAGAGCGTCCCATGACTCCTCCCATCCCTGCCAGGCACGAACCCACGCTTCTTGCATGACTCGCAGGATACTTCCTGTGTCGCCCCACGCTTTCCATAGTTGAGCGCGCAGCTCTCCCGGCATGAACTCCAGTCCGGGAACGTCCCACGCATCCGGCTTCTCGCACGGACTCAGCAACATACGCAGTGCGCGGATGTCCGACTCCCTGATGACCCGCACTGGTGCCACGAGATCACAGGGCAGGATGTGCACCGCTGGAGCGCGACCTTTCCGAGCGGCGACGCCCTGCATGACCCGCCCCCCAGGGCGCTTCTCCTCCGACGTCGCCGACGAACGTCCCTCCAGTTCGACACCGCCGCGTTCCAATGCCGCTGCCTCACCAACGCTTGACGAGCCCGAACGCGCTGCGTTCGTTGCCGCCCCTGAACTGAAACCATCGCCACCCACAACCGACCCCGCCCGGCGCACTCTCTCCGGCTCGGGGATCGCGGCCACGCGCGCGTACATCAGTATGTGCACCGACGAGTCGGCAGCAGTCTTCCATCCACGCGCGTCAGACGGCGCCACGCTCCGCCATACTTCGCCGTCATCACGCATCTCCCACCGCGTTCTGCCGCCATGCGATGTCCGGCAGCAGGCGTTGTAGTGGCCAGTGTGGAACCCTGCGCCGTGGTGGAACACACAGCTCACCAGAGTGTACTCGTGCCCGCTGAGGCGCAGCTTCTGATTGGGCACCACCGCATGAGGAACCTTCATCACCCTCCCGGACGCTGCATCGTATTCCTGCGCGACCAGTTGGACCCACAAACACTGCGGCGCCCGCGTCAGCTGCCACTCCTTTCTCGCTTCGCGGCAGCCGCATCCTTTGGGGCACGACCACCTATAATCTGCTTCCATCACCTCTCCGCCGCTGCTTCTGTCCACGACCTCTTGCACTGTTCGCACGCGGCCGCCGTCTCCCCGTGGTATTTGCACCATCAAACACGTCAAGTCTCTGTCCCCCGCGATCGCCGTGGCGCCGCCACACCCCTCCCTCGTGCACACGAGTCATTCCACTTTCTTCATCCGGAACAGCTCACTCACAACGGGCGCCCGCTCATCGTTCAATACTTCCTGCAAAAACTCTCCAGCGTCTTGCTGAGTGCGATCATAGAAGACGCGCGGTATCGCGTCTAGCAGGATAGGCCTCGACCCACCACTGCACTCCATCTCCCACATCGTGTGCGCCAACAGCCTGTCAAAATCTGGCGTCCTCCCAGACCTCTGCTCTGCGCTGTGGCGCTCCGCAAAATGCCATCCAGCCCAATCTGCAGGGCTGCCCCGCGGCACAGTGCGCAACGCCTGCCGACCTGCTGGGAGAGCGAAAAACGCTTGCAGTGGCGCGTTCATGAAACAATACCACTGGGGGTTGCGCAGGCCTGGAAGCACGGGCATTACCGCGTCCACGCGGGTGCGCTGGCCCTCTCCGCCCGCGCTTGCGTTGACCTCTTGCAAGGCGGCGATGCTCTGTGGCCCCGCAACATCGCGACCACCGGCAGCAACCCGCAACCACGGAGCATCCTCGCGCACTCCTTCCGCACCGTCCATGCCGCGCCAGCCTCGAGCCACGCGCACCAGATGACCTTCCGAGAACCACACGGCCGCGCCAACACAACGCCCGTCCGCATCGCCCAGCGACCATCTGACGAGCGGAGTCCTGTGCATGATGTGCGCCGCACTGTGCGCCTCGTACACCCAGATGTACGTCTGTTGGCATCGCAGCCATGCCTCAGCAGCCAACATGTTTTGTTTCGCGTCAGGATCCCCCATGCTCTCTCCGGAGCCCACGTGATTGGCGCAACTTCGTTCGAAACTTCTGAAAGCGCCCCGTCGCCACCGTCCTCGACGCATCTTAGCTATTGCAACTTGGACACACTTGTTCTCGAAGCGCCCCAGGGTGTCCACGTCCTCTGCCAACGCGCGGGCTTCTGTACACAACACAGGCGACGCGTACATGGCCCACGCGACGGCTACCCGCAGCAGCCCATGGCCAACAGTCTCCGCCCCTTCTGTGTTCGGGCGGCTTCTGCGGCGTTGCCTGCCTGATTTACAGTTCAAGCCAATCCCCGGCGAACGACGCGCGCGGGCTGTGCGACCGCCTCCAACTCGGCGCGCTTCGCGGCCCGACACCGACGCCGCAATGCGCAGAAAACGCGCCTGCAAAGCAAAACGCGATAGCCTTTCCTTTCTATCGTGCAAGGGGCGAGACTGGAAAAACATTCGCGGATGCTCTCCATTCCTGCAATTCAGAGAGCGCGCCTGGGAGAAATATCGCGTAGCTTCCCTCCTTCTCTCGTCGAGGGGTCGCTCCTGTGGACACTGCCTGCGGAGTCCTCCCCATTGCTCGTACCTTGGGAGCGCTTCGGAACAGCATGGCGCTAGCGTCCACTTTCTCATGTCCACACGAGAGGGTTGGGGGAAAATCCACGGTAGTCTCCCCCTTCTATCGTCGAAAGGACGCGCCTGGGCAACAATTCGCGATAGTCTCCCCCATCTATCGTCGAGAGGACGAGCCTGGGGGAAATGTCGCTCTAGTCTCCCCCTTCCACCGTCCATCGAGCGAGCCTGGGACGCCTTTCGCGGAAATCGTCCCCTTCCAGCGTCCGTATACCACGATCTGTCGCCGCAGAATCGCGATAGCTTCCCTCTTTCATTCTGCTGATTGCGAGAATTCGACCTTCTGGCCCACACAAGAGCAGAGGAACTCGGTCGCGGATTCCTGCAGCGCCGCGGCAGAGCCCCGGAGGACCCCGCCACGACGCACTCCTCTCGGAAGCCCGGCCTGACACCGGCGGACCCGAAGGCCCGCGCGGGAACGCGAACGTGCCATTGCTGGCCCCCGCGCAAGCCGCAGCAGCCGAAAAAATGCGAGAGCTTCCCCCTTCTACCGGACGGAGAATAATCTATCTGCAGCCGCTCCCGCCGACAATCCCACGCGCCGGCCCCAGAAGGCGCGACGCAATGCAGGGTATGGTTCCTGCAGACCCGCGGTTTTATGGACAAACCGGTAAACCCGCAGTTGTACGCCGCCGCGGCCGAAGCCGGGCAAGCAGGCTCAGCCGCATGAAATGCAACCGAACCTGGGTGCATGAGACAACCGGTAAACTCCTTGGTTGTTGAGGTACAACCGGTAAAACCCCCGATTCCTTCCGAGGAATCGGGTCTACTATGTCCTCTGGCCACGGGCCTGCTGGACATGGCGCCCAGGGGGCGGGCCCAAGGGGGCCCTCGGAGGCGGCGCCCGTCAAGAGTAGCTGCACTCAAGGCTTGAGCCTGGCAGCGCGGGCGAACCATGAATAGCAGCCTCCCTCCTTCTTAGCTCCTCGTCTGCTTCTCAGCTCTTCCCTTTCTGTTCATCCGTGATTGCACCTCTGCCCGTTAGTCCTCGTTGTTCAACCCTCTCTTGCCCTCCTGTCCTGCATCATCCTTGCCCCCCCTCCGTCCGCCCATGCCGTGGCGACGTGGAGGGCCCCCCCCCCAAGGCCAGAGAGCTCCAATCTCCATATTCGAAGCTCGATCTTCGAGGTTGAGGTTGCTCAACAAAGGCGCGTGGACTTCTCCCTGGATCCACACGCAATATTTGTTGGGAGCCCCTGTTTTTGAGACCCCCCCACCCCACCATCTCTCACCCAAAACCGACCGATACCCCCTACCACGCCCCGCACCACGCCCCGTCACTCCCACCCCATGGAGCCTCTGTTTTTGGGACCCCCCACCCCACCATTTCTCATCCCAAAACCGACCGACACCCCCCACCACGCCCCCCACCACGCCCCGGCACTCCCACCCCATGGAGCATCTGTTTTTGGGGCCCCCCACCCCACCATTTCTCGCCCAAAACCACCCGACACCCCCCACCACGCCCTCCACCGCGCCCCGGCACTCCCACCCCATGGAGCCTCTGTTTTTGGGACCCCCACCCCACCATTTCTCGCCCAAAACCGACCGACACCCCCCACCACGCTCCCCACCACGCCCCGGCACTCCCACCCCATGGAGCCTCTGTTTTTGGGACCCCCCACCCCCCTTTCTCGCCCAAAACCGACCGACACCCCCCACCGCCCCCACCACGCCCCGCACTCCCCCCCCCCATGGAGCCTCTGTTTTGGGACCCCCACCCACCATTTCTCATCCCAAACCGACCGACACCCCCCACGACACGCCCCCCACTCCCACCCCATGGAGCCTCTGTTTTTTGGGACCCCCCCACCCCACCATTTCCCCAAACCGACCGACACCCCCCACCACGCCCCCCACCACGCCCCGGCACTCCCACCCCATGGAGCCTCTGTTTTTGGGACCCCCCACCCCACCATTTCTCACCCAAACCGACCGACACCCCCCACCGCGCCCCCCACCACGCCCCGGCACTCCCACCTCGTGGAGCCTCTGCTTTTGGACCCCCCTCCCCACCATTTCTCGCCCAAGACCGACCGACGCCCCCCACCGCGCCCCCCACCACGCTCACCCAAAACCGACCGAGACTCCCTACCACGCCCCGCGCCACGCCCCGGCACTCCCACCCCATGGAGCCTCTGTTTCTGGGACCCCCCACCCCACCATCTCCCTGACTCTCCATGTGTGGCGCTCTGGGGCGCCTGCAACGTTTAGTTGCATGTTGAGAAAAACCTTACTTACAAAACAATGTATGTTAAGAAAAAGTGAACCTGCAAGTCTACCTTTCATGTAGGAAAACCTCTAACATGGAAAGTCGCCTTGCATGTTGCGCATGGCTTAATATAGCATAATGCCGGCGCGTGTGCATAATATGAATGGAGCTTAGGAAGACGGGGAGCGATATGAATTCTTATGTCGCGTTTTTTTTGCGCCGCGTCTCATCCTTGCCACGCAAGTGCGACGTCGAACTTAACGCGTCCACGCTAATCCCCCAAAAAATACCCAAAACAACTCCCTCGGTGTCCCAAACCTCTACCTCTTCCCCTCTCCCACAATTGGCGGTGGCCGCGGGGGGATGCGTGGGGGCAACCGCATGTGATGCCAACATGGGTGCACAATGTGCAGGGGGGGGCGGGGCTAAGAGCGAATGCCAAACCTACGACCCCCCCCAAAACGCATTTGTTTCCGCGGGGTGTATCTAAGACTAGGGAACCTGACACATGGGCGAAGCACAAGTGCCACGAAGGAACAGCACTTATTTGGCGCAGATCGCCCGAATATATGGTTGTATGTATGTCTGTATGTACGTACGTATGTCTGTATGAATGTATGTTTGTATGTATGTATGTATGTATGGATTCATGTAAGTATGTACGTGTGTATGGGTGTATGTATGTATGTACATCTGTAAATGTGCATATGTTGTGTATGTGTTGTGTATGTGTGTATGTATGTATGTATGTTTGTATGCCTGTACGTATGTATGTATGTATGTATGTATGTATGTATGTATGTATGGATGTACGCATGTATGTATGAATGTGTGAATGTATGTATGAGTGCCCCAAGACGGCACAAGAGGGCCCCGAAACGGCCCAAGAGAGCCCCAAGACGGCCCAAGAAAGCCCCAAAAGAGCTCCAAGACGGCCCCAAGACGGCCCAGGAATGATGTCCAGCAAGTGTTTCTTGAGAGGGCTTCCCAAAAACACTTCCCACGGCTGCCCAAAAGATGCCCGAAGAGGCCCCGAGAGGTCCCGAGAGAGCCCCAAGACTGGCCCAGGGGACTCCGAGAGAGCCCCGAGACGGCCCCAAGACGGCCCAGGAAAGTTGGCCAGCAAGTGTTTTGTCTTAGGGCCCCCAAAAAACCTTTCCCACTCCTCCGTCCTCCCGGCGCGCATTTGGCGCGTCGACGCGGATCCTGGCCGCCTTGTGCACGCATGTGGTGTGCAAAAACCTTTCCCACTCCTCCGTCCTCCCGGCGCGCATTTGGCGCGTCGACGCGGATCCTGGCCGCCTTGCGCACGCATGTGGTGTGCAATTGTCACTGGCGTGTCGTTTCGGCTGCTTCGTTCGTTTGTTCGCCCAAGAGATGCCCCGAGAGGCGCCAACAGCCTCCGAGAGGGCCCCCAGACTGGCTCTGGAGGCTCCGAGAGCCCGAGAGGACCCCAAGACGGCCCCAAAACGGTTCCAGGAGGCCCCTACGGACCACCTAAAAGCCCCAAGAGGCCCCTCAAGAGGCCCCCAAGAGGCCCCCAAAGGGGCTCAAAGAGGCCCCTCAAGAGGCCCCCAAGAGGCCCCTCAGTAGGCCCCCAAGAGGCCCCTCAGGAGGCCCCTCAAGAGGCCGCAATTGGACTCCCAAGAAGGCTGCGTGTCCCTCCTCCTCCTCCCTCCTCTCCCCTCCTCCTCATCTCATTCCTCCCTCCTCTCCTCCTCCTCCTCCTCCTCCTCCTCCTCCTCCTCCTCCTCCTCCTCCTCCTCCTCCTCCTCCTCCCCCTCCCACTCCTCCTCGTCCTCGTCCTCCTCCTCCTCCTCCTCCTCCTCCCTCATTCTCCCTGTATTCCCTCCCTCACTCCTCCCTCCTCTCTGCCTCCTCCTCCTCCTCCTCCTCCTCCTCCTCCTCCTCATCTTCGTCGTCCTCCTCCTCCTTCTCCTCCTCCTCCTCCTGCCTCTCCTCCTTGTTCCTCCTTCGCCTCCTCCTCCTCTTCCTCCTCCTCCTTCTCCTCGTGTTCCTCCTCCTCTTCCTCCTCCTCCTCCTCCTCCTCGTGTTCCTCCTCGCGTTCCTCCTCTTCCCCCTCCTCCTCCACTTCCTTATCCTCCTTCTCCTCCTCTCCTCGGCCATGCTCTTCCTTACCCTGAGGGCCCAATGTTCACCG